CCGAGGCACCGGGCGGCCGCGCTCCGGAGCCGGGCTCGCCGGGCTGGCTGCAGGTTCCGGCTTCTCGGGGCCGCCGGCGGGCTCGGCGGGGCCCGCTGCGGGCCAGGGGCTGGCAGAGGCGAGCGGAGCGTGCCACCTTGCCGGCGGACTTGCCTAGCACGCTTACAATCTCTTGTAAAAAACATCCCTTTCGTTCAGGCAGCTCTTAGGGCTCCCTACGCGTGGGTCTGTATTACAACCCCCGGCTCCCCAAAGGGGGAAGTTGCAGGCAGTTTTAGGGCGGAGTTGCATTGGTGTGTTGCCGTGTGTCTTCGACTGTTGTGTGTTTTACCTGAAGTTAGGTGACTTGTTTACTTTTGGGGTCTTGCTGCCGTAGATAGATCGCAGTTATGGGCGACCGGGTTTCCTACCTGGAGCCTTGTTTTCTGAGTGTCTGACAGGGGAGGCCGAGGGGATTGAGGTCGTAGGCGCTGTTTATTTGTGTGGAAAGTTGTTGGCACTGTCATTTAGTTAAGTAATGGCTGCTTCTATCGGCCCAAGATGGCGGGACAGGGTGGGAGGAGAAAGTGAAGGGGGGGTGGTTTGGGGGAGGGAGGAGAGGTAAACATGGAAATAAATAGTAGCGATGAATAGACCTTAACATCAGTATGTAGCTCGCTGGTGTTGAATACAAATTATCCAAGATTGTTTGCAAATACAATTCTTGGTCCTTCCCCATGCTTGGGAACAGCATTCATAAGCTTGGTGTAAATGCTTATCAACCTGTAGCACCTTTAGTTACCCATCTGTAAGCTATTGAACAAAGACTGAGTCTCAGTCTGTCCTCATCAGTTTGCATCTCCTGCCTCAAATCTGATCGCAATGGTATTTGTATGCTTTCTTTTTAATTGGGACCAGAAAACTTGAAGTGTGTGCTTTGGGTGTTGCAACCTTAGAGATTTCCTTTTCCAACTGGAATGAGTAGTAGCTCTGCATTTGACATCTAGCTTTATTGTATTTTGAGAAGGAAGATTGAAATGATGAAGTGTCTAGCATTTTATTCTTAGGTTGATTTAAAAAAAATTGTTCTGAGTTTTTGTCTAGTTATTTTGCAGAGCCGCTTATTCCTTTTGTCTGTAATTATACTTCTATTCTTATTTAAAAGTACCTAAATAAAGCGGGTTCTGATGACAAATAATGATGGAAAACGTAACAAAAATAATCCTTTTTCATAAACCCGGTTCATTTGACCGATGCCAAGAAATTGAATTAAACTTTGATTCTGTAGGTATTCATTGACTTCTTTAAAAATTATCACCGGAAAGACGAATAGCGACTAGATCTGGAATGATTTTAGCACCAATGATTCTGCTTTGCAAAAACAATTTCAACTTGAATACTTAACTTTATTCAAAAATACTTGATATCTGTTGTCATTCTAAAAGATGGAATGAAAGACGTAAAACTAAAAACAAAAAAAAACAAAAGACAAACTCACTGCCATTGAGTCGATTCTGGCTCATGTAGGGACATTATTTATTTTGGAATAATTGTGCTTTAACTTGGGGTTGATAATAAAAGATAATTCATTTGGAAAAGTTTGGCCAAATCTATTGCTTTTGGTTATGATGAAGAAAAACGTGGAATCTGATGTTTTCTGTGGGTGATGCTAGCTGACATTGTCTCAGAATGCACATATTCAAATGAATTCACAGTGGATAGTGCTTAACATTGGGCTCGATTGTAATGTTGAATCCGGCAGTTATTATGTACTGCTTAATTTAAGTTTAAAGGAAGTCAGCGTTTAAAAGTATTCTTTTGTAAAGGTGTGCATTGCTTTCTTAATGTTTGAATACAGTTAAATTTTAAGCTGGAGAATCTGACTAAGCTTCCTTATGTTTTGAGACGGCATTGAAGCTTCTTAAAATCCGAAGTAATTTGATTAACTACCAAGTATTTTGTTGAACTAAAGGCAAAACAAAACACTTCACTACTCAGACCCTATGCTAGTGAAATCCCACCTGCCAAGAGCAAATCCTATTAGTCTTATTTTTAAAGTAGTAACTGCTTTAAGTGTAAAATAAAACATTCTGGAATCTGCATGCAACCTCATACTCATTGCAGCCTCATTGCTGCAATGTGTGCCTGAACATACCAGTGTCATGTAATGTAAAGCTTGGCATTCTGTGTCTGAATAGGATGAATGATCTGATCGGGAAGGAAGCATTGAATTATTTAATTCCATTAATCATTTTCACTGTCTTGGAGAACAGTATTTTATTGTGGATTGTTGAGCCATGTTGGTTTCAGAATTATTATTTTTTGAAAGTCTTAAGACTAATAGCCTTTTTTCTACCCAGAGTTATGTTCAGTCTACTTACCTGTGGATGGGTAATGGAATTTTCTTAGCTGTGATTTTTGTCATGCCACCTAACCTATCCCTCCCAAAAGGCAAGTTTACTAGCTTGAAGTTTGTATAACTTTTCTTTCTGACAAAAAACTTCATTCTTTGCTACTTGCTTTCAAAAATTCTTTTTCCCCCCCCAAAAAAAAATTCTTTCATAATTGGATTAAAAATCTAAACTCTAAGCTTTGGATAGTTTAAAACATTTAATGAACATCTCTTACTTACTTCCAAACATACATTCCTTTTACAGGCAAACCACTGATTTCTCATGTCTGAATTTTTGTACGACTCACATTAGAATCACTGCAAGAAGTTTTGTTTGTAGAATTGCTATTTGATTTATAGCATGGTTTGGTATTGCAAAGTAGATTGGTAATATAGTATATGACTTTTATTGTAATATCCTTAAGGATGCAAATAGTTAGTGGTTGCTTAATCAGAGTTCTTGAAATATGGCATGAGCTTGAGGACTTTGCTCTTCCAATTAATGTTGACCCTTAACTTTCTGGTATTGTCATTTTCAAGGTTCTTATTTTTAAATTACAGTGTAGTTATTGAATCATTAAGAAGTAAAATATTTTGAAAGAAATTATTCTGAGTCTTTTAGTGCGTGTCAAGCCTTTTGGCCTAATGTTGTTTTCACTAAGATATAAGGAATTTGAATCAAAGTATAAAATAGTGTAAATGTATGTAGTAATACTACAAAGCATAATTGTAATGCAGTGGTAGAGGGCTGGTGGAGGATTTTGTCTGATGAGAACTATTGCTGAAATATTCATAGTCATTTGAAATAGCTTCATCTCAATGTAAGTGTGTTCTTATTTTGTTGGAACTTTTAAAAAAGTACCCTATTTATTGTTAGGAAGATTATGTAAACTATTTAGAAGAAGTTGCAGATTGTTTACCATTTAAGAATGTATGTGCTTTTTTTCCCCCCTAGGACAGTGGTTCTCAACCTGCGGGTCACGACCCCTTTGGGGGTCAAACGACCCTTTCACAGGGGTCGCCCGATTCATAACAGTAGCAAAATTACAGTTGTGAAGTAGCAATGAAAATAATTTTATGCTTGGGGGGGGGAACGGACGTCACCACGACATGAGGAACTGTATTAAAATGGCATTAGGAAGGTTGAGAACCACTGCCCTAGGAGATAATAGTATTTAAATTAGCTGGGATTTTCATTTTTGGCATAGTGGAGGTGTTTAAGATCCATTAAAGCATATATTAACTTTGGCTTACTTATATGTAAATGATGGTGGTGGGGAGGATTATTAAGTCAGTTTTAGATGTTGCTTTATTACAGTGATATTTGGATCTTGATTAAAACCATTCTGTATGATGTTTTCTGTTGCTGGTATTTAAAGGGATATGTTATTTCCAGGGTTGAAGGTGGTTAGCATTTGGGTTATGAAATGAATCACAGGAATATGTTGTACTTTGAAACTAGTTCTTTAACTTGATATGTTTTAAAAAATAGTTACTGGTTTGGAAATTTTTTCTCTAAGCAGTCATAATTCTTATTACTTGGACAAAGTCTCATGTTTCTACATGGGAAAGTATAGTGCATTTCCTAAGATTTTAATAATCCTGGTGAAAAAAATACACTAAGAAACTACAGAGAATATTTGCATATTTAGGCACAAATTAGAACTGCTGAGCTCTTAACTCTAAACAGGCACTTTGAAGTTCTTTTTTCTCCTTCCCTGAGTAGCTATTTTTGTAGAATCAATTACAAATTGAAATGACTAGGAAACATTTGACTGCTATCTTTAATATTTTAGGTTGTTAAGAGATACCTAAGAGATCAATTACATATGTGAAATGATGGGTCACATACTTTAAACCAAGTGAAGATTCCGTGTTTGGCTAGCTACAGAGGAAAAGTTCTTTTTCTAACTTAGATTATATGACTTTTAGTTTCTGTTTATTTACTACTGGTATAACATATTTGAAAGGATTTTTGAAGTTTACTTTTACTTTGAAATCCATAGTGCTACTTTGAGCTCTTTGGAATTTATGTTGATGACTGATAACACTGTGCATTATTAGTAATATTTTTGAAATGTGGTATCCAGAGAGCTAATTTATGTTAAGAAAATACCACCAGATTGTCTAAGAACTGAAATGGCGGTTAGGCTATTTAGGGCTCACATGTATTTGTAGACTAGTTAATTAATGGAGTTTATTTAATGAAAGAATAATTGACAGTTTTATATCCTTACATGAAGTCTCATAGAAACTAAGCTACAAATATTTGAATATGTGCTAAGTGTTTAAACCTTAAATTAAGGGAATAGGAAGATAGCTGTCTATACCTTGCCTTTGTTGAGCTTCAGTTCCTAAGAAGGATGAAATAGAAGGGTGGCTTCCTGACTGACACAGGAACATTAGGGGCAGAAGAAAAATGTGAAGTACTTTGGAAATGTATGATAAAGGTCAGTTTGTCAAGTTGTAAGATGGAAAGGCTCTTTCCCATTAGCAGAATCTGATTGTTACTTCTTTGTTTTTAGAGTTGGTGTTTCTTGATCAGATACTAGCAATCTGCCTTTTAATTTTGTATTAGGAAGACATTTAATAACCAGATTTTAGCTTTTAGCAGATATGCAGAGGCTGCGCTGATGTTTTGTCCTTTCCTGATCTTGTTTTTAGTAATATTTATTTTTGTAATGGTTTCTTGCGATCCTTGATTGACTGTTCATGCAACAATTTTTAAGAAATTCTCTGACAGTTTTGGACAGATATAGTCAAGAAGCAGTTAATAAGTCATCTTAGAGTACAAAAACCTATG